TTTTCGAAAAAATCTCAACAAATTAAAATATAGCATCTACGAAAATCTCCTACCAGTTTTTTGCTCCGAAAGGTTCCCGTTTTGACGAGAATGAAAGCCAGCAACTTCAGCACTTCTAACCATCCACTTTTCAGCTGCAATGAAAACCCTTGTACTTGGTAATTTATTCAAGCTTTCTAGATTTGCCATCACGCTTGCACGGGCAGTTTGCAATTGGGGTTAATAAGAAGAATAAGGCCCTGTTTACATGGAGTGGGGGACCCCGGTTTAGTGGGGTAGGTTTCTTTTGTCTTGTGTGCCCCAGAGCGTGAAAACAAAAGAAACCAACCCCACTAGACCGGGGTCCCCCACTCCATGTAAACAGACCCTTAAACGGTTATCATGTTTTCTTCATCTTTATTCCCAAGTGCCAAACTTCCCGTGCGAATGTGATGGCAAATCTATTACTTTATTGCAAGCCGTAAAGCTTGCATTAAAGCTTTCAATAAGAATACCCTTTCAAATAGGAGATAGTCCGTCTGCACACTAGTACTAGTATAACTAGAGAGCTCTAAGGCCTACTTTAGAAGGATTTACATAGAGTCATCAGAATATATGCAATAACAGGCTGATTTTCAACCAGTGGACATTTTAGATTTTTTTCTTTCTGGATATGCCAACCAATCCTATAATTTGACAAATTAGTTTTTGTGACGTTATCACTTCGCTTCTTATTGAAAAAAGACATAGAGATTACTGAATGTTTGGCTCGCTTGTACGATTTTTTATTCACGAGTGTGAGAAACGAGCGAGTTCGTGACTCTTTATAACAAGTGAATGAAAATCGTACATTAGCGAGCCAATCATGAAGTTATTGTTTATATAGTAAATAAGTACTGATTCTTTTTTTCACACACGACAAAATGAGTCTTATTCACTCAAAAGCCTAACTGCTTTAACATTTTCATTTTCAGCAAAAGGTAAAAAAGGAAATTTTAAAAGCCAGTTTTATCATATAACACCACATTAAAGCACGGTTTTAAAAAGCCAAGCTTACTCACCATCCTATTCTCTTAAGGCTTAAGTCTTAATTTTCCATATGATTGTAACAACACTTCGGCTGAACCTTACTATGGGCAAACATGATATACCACGGTATACAAGGAATACAGTGTTACTAGGGTAAACATGGGTACACAGGATAAATAGGGGTATACAGGGTATACAGTATTACTAGGGTAAACATGGGTACACAGGATATATAGGGGTATTCATGGTATACAGTATTACTAGGGTAAGCATGGGTACACAGCATATATAGGGGTATACAGGTTATACAGTATTACTAGGGTAAACATAGGTACACAGGGTATATAGGGGTATACAAGGTATACAGTATTACTAGGGTAAACATGGGTACACAAGATATATAGGGGTATACAGGGTATACAGTATTACTAGGGTATTCATGGGTACACAGGATATATAGGGGTATACAAGGTATACAGTATTACTAGGGTATTCATGGGTACACAGGATATACATGGGTACACAGGATATATAGGGGTATGCAAGGGTATACTTGCTATGCTGGTATTATAACCTATTGCACTAATATAAGGGAGTTTATATGGAGACTGCAATGAATTACTTGCCATAGAGAGAGGTTATTTGGCATTTTTTTGCACTTCCAAGGGCATTTTACACAACGGGCTTTTCACACCCCAATAAAGCACCTTAATTACTACTTGGCCAATTTACTTAATAATTACAACTGACTTAGTTACAGGAACCGCTTTTAGGGGGATTGAATGTTATAAGTTTTTTTTTCCATTCTTTTGCGGCAGAAACAAAGGAAAAAACAAAAGGTATATACAATAATACATATACACAAGAGACTAAAAGGGGACAGAGAGGGCATTCCCCATATACACCCTATTCCATAGGTAATTCGTCTCGAGTTATTTTTAACACCACAGATCTCAAGGGGGATTAGACAACAGCCAATCACATAGCGCGAATTGCACATTTAGCAAAAAGAAATAAATTTGCATCAAAAAGAACTCTCGATTACTTTCGGAAGAAATATCCGGAATATGCTAATAATTGGCTTGTGTCACAGATAGCAGTGAGAGCCGAGACGGTGAACGTCACCAATACTTAATTATCTTACTCGGGTTACAACATCACAGAAACTGTCACAAAGAGTTGATGTGATGTTATAATATATCACTAATTTCTTTACCTGGTTATTAGCATATTCGGGAGATTTAACAGAGGGTCCTTTTTGATGCAAATTCTATCTTTTTGCTACATGTGCACGTGCATATGAAACTTGGAAACTGATGCCAGTGAATAATGAGGGCGCTCACTTGTAAACACAAAATCTGGGGGGAAAATTGGTTATATTTGAGGCCCTATTTAAAAACCTTCTCTGTTTTCAATGTTCTTGAAACTTGCAGCGTATATTCATGGAGGATTGATCTCGGGATTGTCAAATTTATAAAAAAATTTATCGAGCGGTTTTTTGAAAAATGCGAAATTTGTAGGCATGGACCAAATTACGTGCAAAAACTAACAAAAGCAGCGGAATGCAAGTTACTAAAATTCTTCTTACTCGCGATCGCTCGGAGCAATTCTCCCCTTTTTTTGTAAGCAGTTTTCAACGGAATCAAACCACTATGAGATGAAGCCGCGTTTCCCATGCTTATCATTTTCTTAAAAATTTAGCTAACTGTGTGGATAGCATGCTATTTCTCTGTTTTTATGATGCTTAAAACTTCGTTTCAAAATATCTCAAAAACGCTCTCATAGAATTTGTTCAAACTTTGCCATAATTGAGGCAATTATGACAGGTACAAAGTCCCTTAAGCGATTTCTTAAAAAAACTCTTGGTACAGAGAAACACAAAGATAGATAAAGAATGTAATGGCGTCGTTACGTTGCTATGGCGACTCCGATTGCAATTAAACCCAGATCGTAAGAAATTTTCATCTTTATATAATACGGTTGTGGTAATCGTTTTCCCATATCTTTACTCATGGCGACGTAGTTAATGCTCAAACTTGGGAGGTATCCCCCCAAAAAAATCCAGTCGAGCCACCTTAAGTACGATTGTTCGGCCTTGATTAATAAGCAAATCCAGTCTCCAAAGTTGAGTTGAAAGGTTGCATTTTTTGAGGTTGGAAATATTTTGAATGAATAATAAAACACTAATTTACAGGGTTTTATGCTTGCTACAAATAAACGTCTCTGGCTTCCGATGACAAGAACAGCGAAACAGAAACAAAAAACGACCAGTGTTTCCAAGTATTTTACCGGTATACAAGCTTTACCTGCAAGCGGTGTGAGATTTCTGGAAGCTTTGTGATGGTGGGTTCTTTGTAGATATACTCTTCCCCATCCAGATCACCAAATTTAGAGCCATAAAATCCCACTCTGAAGTAAGTCCCTAACATACGTTTTCCCTCCTGAAAATGTCAAATAAATGTCACACAAAAGAAGCATTAGACGTTAAAGTTCGCAATTGCCCTTCAATACTTCCCACGGAATAAAACAGGGCGTCACCCTGAATGCTACTGTAAAATATACCCGGGAATTCAGTAGCTGTGGTTTAGAATATTGTATCCGATAAAACTCTGTGCCACATTTCATTGCCCCTAATTCACCGCAAGCTAGAAAACAATTTACTTAAATAACTGTTGTGTAAGGTAAGGAAAATGATAATTCGCTAAGGGAAACGAAAATACCATTTATCGGCTGGGTTACTGCAATAATTAATTTACCTTGAGTTACGCAAAAGTTATTTTAGAGCATGTCTTTACACCTGATATCGAAAACGCTTATTTCCCCTGCGATTTCTTGAATAATTTAATCCAAAACTTATCGAAAGTTGTCAGAATCGATAACTCTGCATTAAAGGTTCCTAAAGCTGGTCAATTATCTCAAAAAAACGTGTTTTACCTAAATTAAATCCACTAGATAACGCCTCGTGTTTCACCTTAATAAAACGAGCTACTGCTTGCTAATCAAAAATTATATAAATGATTAGTTTGGACTACTTAAATTCCAGGCTTCATAATAACTTGACGAGAAATGATATTGAGCCTGACTTTTCCTCTTACCGTTTGGATTATCCTGGTAAAGGCTCCCGAAAGCATTTGATGAACATGAATTAGCTTCTTGTACTCTCGTCGGGCTTCCAGTATGGGAATCAATACCTTATAAACCTCATTTACACATTCAAAAAGTTGGGCTTGCAAAAATGAACTGGCAGCCTTTTCAAGCAGGGTCACTAATCCATTTTCACAGAAGTAATTTCCGGTACAGATGCCCTCTTCATCCTGAGGTGAAGGGAAAAGAAGAGGTGATAGTAGAGAGACTTATTGTAAAAATGTACACCACAATCCATAACTTCTAAAAAAGAAAAATGTTTTTTCGAAAAATTCTGGATAAATAAAATTTTAAGCAGAAGAAAGGTTCATTTTGCCCTACTAAAACATAGCCAATTCACTGTTTTGCAACTCTTGTTTTAAGCCCGGTTTCACACTACTATTCGTATATTAGCGGAGCTCTGGCGCGCGAAGCGCGCCTGCGGAGCACCATGGGTAAGTAAATCTACCCATCCCAGAAAATTTGGTAATCACGTGACCGTACACCGCCCGCCCGCCCGCCCGTCCGTCCGTCCGCACCACAGGGCAACCAATGTCACTCTAGCTAGTTTGGAAGCATAGGAAGACTGATATTGCACACACATTGTACATCAATGTTGTGATCAATTGACAGCTGTCAAAACAGGGTATCCGCTGACCAGTATCACCTGACCATATCGCGGGCTCAGGTGTCGACCCGTCGAGGTCGAGTATCTTTTTGAAATTATCCGCTGACAAGTTACTAGTTTTCAAATGATCGCAGGCTCAAGTTAAATTTTTTTTAATTGGTATTAAATATGTTGTGTTTTATATGTGCCGCACAATTAAAATTTTGATTTCAAACTGACCTCGGAAGCTAAAATTCAGCCAGTTTTTACAGGCAGGGAAGACATGCCAGTTGCTTTTGACTTTTCTCACCAAGGTCACGCGTTGGTCACGCTCTACGTCCAATTTTTATGCTCTGATTGGTCAAAATTTGACAGGTGAGTTCATGCGGAAAATTTATGCAGCATCTTGAAACTTGTTTCCTTTGAGAGTTGCAGCTGACAGAGTTTTGTGTCAGCTTGTGACGTTTTTAATTTTCTTTTTCCACTGGATGTACAAAATGAAATTCTGCTGCTATCAAGAAGCTTCAAGAGTCTTCTGTTATTCACAGCTAGTTTGTTTATTGGGGTTTTGGTTGAGAAATACGTCGCTTGTCAAAGTCGGAAATCTGATTTCGGATGGCATCGTTTTCGTTTTTCACCTTGCTTGATGCGTAAGAGGGTTGAAAAGTCTGAAGCGATTCTGGCCTTACTTGATAGTTTTCAGTGCATCTCGAATNTATCTAGCTATAATTCTGGCTGTAAAAGAAAGCTTTGAGCAATTTTCTTGCCTCGAGTTCATCTTTGAAAAAAGCAAACACCGGGAAGCCGGCTTAAAACATAAACAAGGATTTTCAGAGACACTTTAATACTTGTCTTCGTGAATGAAAATTGTTGTCTCTGTATATGTTTCACCGAATTATTTTCCTTTTATTGATTATTAGTGGTCTCTTTTGCAATTTCAATCGCTGTGCCGTTTGTTTTCAGTCGCTCATGAACATCGGTTGCAGGAGTACTCAAAATGCCGCGCGTATCAAAGGAAGAAGATTACACATCGTTATAAAACCATTGAACAAAAAATAAACATAATAAATTCTTTTTCATGTTGAAGCGTATAACTCTATTAATCTTGATTTAATCAGTCGACTTTGGCGCTTGTCAAAAGTGAGAACCGGCTAGCCGTATATGTAGGTGATTTTGGAAATTTTTTTAACGGTTCCGGTAAAAGCACACGCGTGCTTCGACCGTCCTGAATCTTGAGTGAGTGCAATTTGTATTCCAAAATTGTGAAATACTGCATTCTTTCCGAGGTCTGTATGATAGAAACTGCGCCTCATGGTACTGTTTCACCTCAGATGTGATGTATAAAAAGTATAAAAGGTTGGTTTACACGTCCCCAGACTTGTTGGCAAGATTTTGTAAAGTAAATTATAAACTTGTCGAACGCAAAAAATTCGGCCTGATTTGTTTTCAAAGAATTTGTTTTCCAGGCCTAATCTACTGTGATCAAGAGCCATTATGGCTCTTAAATGTGATCGAAGATGATTGCTATTTTTTGGGTGTACGTATATAGAGGCTATCAGCTCGATCTAAGGTCATGTTCACTCTTAGCTTGGACTGTTTGCAAATTATATTTCTCTTAAATAACTTAGCCTTTCCCTCAAAAGTCACATGAATGTGCTCTAAAGTTAACTGATTTGTGGAATACAATTGCTAGTTTATTGTTCGATTTAAATTATAAATTCAAGTTAATAGGAGCTTCGCTTTTAGCCCTGGCTAAATCTATATATTAGTGTAACGCTGCAAAACAACATGGTTCTTTATACTAAAATTTTTAAAAATGGTCCTTCGGGCTGGATAGGTCCCTATCTAAAACTAGATGATTAGATTTAATTTTAGCCGCGTTTGGAGAAGAGGCAACTTGGTTAATGAATGGGACTTACTGGTGAGACGACATCATCTGAAATAGCGCTCTCCTCCAAAACATTGGGCGAAATCTTTTCAAAGGACACACAGCCAATAGGAAGGTATGGCTTGTCCTCTAGCATGCTGAGGTACTCAGACACTAGTCCAGCTGTATGTACTAAGCACATGGCTGCTTCGACGTGGTTATTCAACTGCAACACAAAGTAACATAGGGTTAAGTTTTAAAGGGACTGTTAATTTAAATTGTATTACAGTCCAACCCCGTTGATACTGATTGTGAGGGGGCCATAAAAAGAGTCCGTAAAAAACCGGGTTGACTTTAGACAAAATGTATGAAAGGGCTTTCCCTACTGACAAAGCAAACGGTCACAAGGTGTCCGTATTAAGTAGGTGTCCGTTAAGCAGGGTTCTACTGTACTTACAGCACACAAATTCATATGATTAAACAGTTGAATATGTGATTAGCTCTGGTTAAAAGATCTCAAATCTGTAGTTCTTAACTTACTGTTAATTAAGAAAGACGGCATGATTCCTTAAACTAGTTCTTACGTCGAGGAAACTGAGCCTCATAGCTGCAAATGATATACGCCAGGATATTTTTTCTTCTATACTACACAACGCACCATCAACACATATTGCTGAGCTTTGTGATCAGTATGACACTGTTTTACCCACAATTTTAGAAAAGCACGCACCCCAGCATACAAGGATCGTTACTCTTCGGCCTCATGCTCCTTGGTATAACAATGACATTACAGAGCAGAAGTCGATTTGTCGTAGGCTTGCAAGACGCTGGCGTCATTCCTGTCTTGCATCGGATTATCAATCCTATGTTGATCAACACCTTGTTGAGAAAGAAATCATCTTCAAATCAAAGATGGAGTACTACTCTAACCTTAGTGTTGCTGGCAGTGGTAATGAAAACCTTTTTCGCTTCATCGACCGTGTTCTCCACAGGTAGCCGGAAAAACGTTTTCCATCTTGTTCCTCAGCTGAAGTACTTGCTAAACAGTTTGTCACATTTTTCGAAAATAAGATATACCAATTGCAGAACATTTTAGGAGGAGCCAGAAACGCTTGAACTATTTCACGGCTTTGATAAATCTTCACTTAACTGTAAAATGGATACCTTCTCTCATACACCAATCATCGAACTATCGAAAATTTCTCACAGCGATTTCTAAATCATGCAGTTTGGTTCCTTTCCCTGCCGCTTTACTAAAAGAACACCTTGACTTGCTTCTACCTACACTTTGCAGCGTACTGAACTTGTCGCTGGCATCTGGTCAATTGCCTTCTTCTCTGAAAACTGCCGTCTTATCACCGTTACTCAAGAAACCTTCTCTGGATCATAAAGTCCCTGGTAATTATGGGCCTATCTAAAATCTCAAAGTTATTTCTAAAATTATCGAGAAAAATGTGGCTGTACGTCTCCACAACTACCTTGAATCAAACCAACTTAATGAACCTCTACAGTCAGCCTATAATCGATTTCATAGCTGCGACACCGCTCTCACTCGCGTTGACAACGACATTCTGCTTGGAACTGATAATAGTCACTGTGTTATACTCTTGCTGCTTGACCGGTCTTCTGGAATTAGCCAGTACCATTGCTAAAGTACAGGCTTGCTTGTCAGATCTTGATAAGTGAATGTCTCTTAAAAACCTGAAACTAAACAAGGACAAAACTGAACTTCTCTACCTCTACTCTAAACACTGTCATATAAAGTCGCTGCCACCACTTCGTTTTGGAACTGAGACTATCATTCAACCATCCGTTTCTGCCAGAAACATTGGTGCCATTTTTGGCAGCACTATGTCTATGCTTCCTCATGTCAATTCTGTCTGTAAATCAGCCTTCTACCATCTGCGTAACATTTCCCGCAAATACCATCACATCACTCCTGCAAATGAGCGTATTAAATTCAAAACCCTGCTGCTCACTTTCAAGCACACACCAACAAGAACCCACCTACATTCAAGATTTGGTAACTCGCTATTCACCGCCCAGAACTCTCTTGTCATCTAGTTAACTATGCCTGAATCCTGTTAACTTTAATACGAAGTCCTATGGGTCTAGAGCCCTCGCTGTCGCTGCTTCTGACCTGTGGAACAGTCTACCTGACAACATCCGTTCATTTGACAATTTAAATCTCACCTTAAGACTTATCCTTTTAGAAAAGCTTACTATTGCTAGTATGACTATTTTTATTTCAATATTAATTCACCTACTAATTAATTGTTTGTTTAATTCATAGGAATGTTGTAAAATATTTACTTAATTGTTTGGAATGCTGCGTATAGCGCCTAGAGAAGGACTGGATAGGCGCTATACAAATTTTAAGCATTATTATTATTATTGTTATTATCATTATCATTATTATTATTATTACAATTATTATTATTATTATTATTATTATTATTATTATTATTATTATTATTATTATTATTATTATTATTATCAAACATTTCAATTGTGTACCCTTTTCTTTTGAGCGAGGGGGTAAAATCTTTCAGTGCAACCAGGCAAAAGAATACACTATTCGTATAATATGCAAAAAAATTCTACTATTATTTCTCCAGTATCCTGCTTAATGAAATTAGAGATTTCCTTGATATCTGACTTTACACAAGTTAAGGAGTAAAAATTCAAACTGAAGCATTGGACATTATAATATGGCAAAAAAGATATTTAATACTTGACACTGTCCCTTTAAAATGCAGAAATAAAGACGAGGGAAACCAAAGAAAAATCAACCTCTGCGGAACACAAAAAATTATTTACCTCGCCATGCTTGGAAGCCATGTTGTAAAGCCATGTCAGTCGTAAGTCTGGCGAGTTTTGATACCTGCGTAATATACATAAACCAGACAACAATGTTCACGGAGTTATCTTTTAAAGCGTAATATCATGCTGTGCCTTGCTGTGCTTTAATTTCTTCTTTGATTTAAAAATCTGATAAACAGCTCAATTTTTGTTTTCCTTTTTCTGAGATTCCAGTAACGCATCTGACAAAAAGGAGAATAGAATTAAACTGATTTGAAACAATTGAAACCGGAGGAAATTTTAATCGCAACAAATACAACTAGTCCAAGGTTAATCAAAGAAGAAAAAAAGGTACTTGATTATTATATATAAAATATAAGCACCCTTTGGCAATCCTGTACATCAGATCAACCAACATTTCTGGATCCTATGGAAAGAAAAAAAAAAAGGTCATGTCCAAACTCACCGTGCAAAACATTATGTACTGAGGAATGACAAGCTTATTCAAGAGAAATTTCATACACGTTAACACCATTTAAGTAAAAAATAATGCTTGGCGGCCGGACAAACTAACTGATAATTGCAATACCGATCGGTGTGTCATAAGCCTCTCGGATTTTAGAATTACCAGTAACTTTACCATCAATTGACTAGAAAATGTGAGATGACAATCAAAACAAATTACTGATACCTTTTGGTACTCCTTCATCTTTACTGTATCTGATAGAATCATATGCAGGTTGAAAACAGCTCTCTGACCTAAGGTAACATTCAACATGTACATATCTTTTAGCTTTTAACCTTAGTTTTGGGCCAGCGAAGTTAAACTACCTCTTCGCATTGTTTCCGATGGGGCTGCCCAACTTTCCGTACAGTTTATAGTTATCGCTAAAAGCATAATACACACAAAAACAGTTTGAACTACTCTAGACCATTTAATTAATAGGTCTGTTATAGCCTCTTTTATATGAGGGTGCAAATGGGGTTAACAGTTAACTGATATTTGGCCAAAAAAAACAGTAGTTAACTGATAAATGAAAAGTTAACAGTAAAGTGATATTATATTAATGTTAATGAAAGCAATAAAGTTTTGCATACAGAAATGCTATTTTCTGGGATTTTTCTGTCCCGCTGATGACCCGGTGGCACATTAACTGATATTACTCTGTGCAAAAGGCACTAGGGCAGTACCCGACAAGCAGAAAAGGTCAGTCGAATAGCTGGTTGTAGACAACTCAATTTGTCTTCTAATATTAGCAAGATCTCTGTGTTCGGAAAAGAAAAATACTGTTTTCACGGATGCAAAAGATCGTCAAATTAAACATTACTACCCAAATAGAAGAGCTGTGACGCTTAGCATTGGATCTGGCCAACAAGAATTTCTGAGGGTTAAAGAAATAAGTAATCTTTCTTTTAAGTACATGGAATTTGTACTTACGAGAAATCATTTTTGTAACTGATGTTGAAGTTCCAACTATTGAGACTTTTTTAATAGAGAAAAAGCTTAAAAGCTCGTGTTTAAACCGGTCTTTCTGAAACAGTTTCGGCAGTTTCATTTCTTAAAACCCTTGGATATCTTTATGAGGCTTTTCAAATACGCGAAAAAGGTACGTCTGTTAAAGAGGTAACATTGAGGGACGAGAAAGAGGATGTTGACAAAATCTGTATCGAGGTACAAAAACCTTCTGACAACGCAGGTCAAGGAAAACCTACACGCGGTTTTACTGACTTCAACACAAAATATTTTGCTTTGAACTACGCCCAAGACTTTAGAACCACAGTAAAGGAATCGCTTAAAAGAACTACGTGTTCGAAGAGAGCTAGACTCACGAAAAGTCGAATTGTCCCCTGTCAAATACTTTCATGCCTCAGTCAGCACACTCAACCATGTCTCTCCCATCGGTGCAAACAGTGATTGAATTCACCAATTGAATTCCAAAAACAATGGTTCAGTTTTGTTATTTAAGACTGTATTCTGGCATTGATAATGTTTGTCGTCGTCTGTTGCAATGGATTGCAAGGATTAAAAATGGATTGAAACATAGGCCAACAACAAGATACAGGACCTGCAGTAACCAGATAAGTACAAGACTGATTCCGATCAGATAATGAAAGTGCCGAAGAAGGTGACTGGTAGTTTAGGGCAGGACATGCATGACCATGTCGGAAAGATCAGTACGAGATCATGACTGGTGCGTCTGAATCTATCAGGCTGGTGTCATTTTGATGGTTATACACGCCTTTAATAAGTCCGGGCGCCATCTTGAATTTTTAATTTATGACGTCATTCGCGGAAAGACTTCAGCCACCATCTTAGAGGTTTGACTCGCGTGACAGTACCATGTCAGGGCGCCGGAGAGGCAAAGTCAGGCAATTATGAATCGCTTTATTCCATTCTTT